TATAAGTTTTAGATGTGTGAACAATGAGAATACTGAGATGATTTCAGCTGATCTGAATGTGTTTGCTTTGCAGAAGTGGAGAAGTACAGGAGAGGAAGAGACATGAAGTCTGAGGAGCACATACCGCAATGCTTAGATAATTAGTTTCATATATGGTAAAAAGAATAGAAAGTGATGTACAGATAGTAAGGTACAGCACGTGTAGGGAGTTGTGTTGTTCTCTTGTCTTTCAAAACAGGAACCACGCCCCCACCGCCAGCGGGAAGGAGTCAGATTAACACGAGGCAGGGGCGTGGTGTGGTGAAGGAGGAAGTGGAACTGCCAATGAGAAGAGGACAACGCCTTGCGTGCACAATGACACAATGTCTGTAATTTTATTCCTTTACTGCTTAATTAACTACATTAACTGAGACCGAATATCTTCTCCTATTGCTTCATTAAAGAACACGCAGGACTGAACTCACACATAGCACATTGGAGAGTAGGATGAGCCCCCAGTCCATCAAGACACAAAACACAAAATGACCTCAAAGAGACACAAGATGACTGCAACACCACACAAAACAACCGCAAAGAGACACAAAAACACAAAGATGCATAACAACTACAAAGAGATGCAAAACCATCACAAAGTCTGTGTGTCCCACTCCTATGCAGGAGAGGTGGTGGGGCCTTTTGCATATCTATGCCCAGGGGCCCATTGTCTCATAATCTGCCCGTGCTTACAGTTTGTTCTCTGTTACATTTTGGCTTATTTTTTATCTTTCATATATCTCCAGGTTCAAGGTTGATTTTATTAATTTATAAAACCACAGACACCACAGCGCTCCCATCCTAATTAACCAACACTAACTACTAACTATCCATTAGATTAAACTAAAAACAAAAATACAGCACTCATATCTGATACTGTGTGAACATTGAAGAGTCACTGGTGTCTGTCCAGCAGCTATAAGCGCAGTATATGTTAAGAGAGTAATATATTCTTTAAAATAGCCCAAATCTGTACACTGTGTCCACTTGTAATTCTCACTTTAAGGTTAAACCTAAAGTTTTATGCCTCAACATTTAAATTCAACGTTGAGCTGCTGTGCCCTGCAGCTCTTCTTTAAAATATAAATATCTTATAAGTATAAAAGTTTGATTTTGTTTCTGAGGCGAGAGGTTTTACAGAGAACACTGAGCGTCTCTGCAGGTTCAAGCGTGAAATGAATCCATAAACATGTGAGAACAGGCCGTAGATCTCAGCGGGTGGTTCCTTGTGACTAATGTTGGAGGTGCGTGGGTGCATGCTGGGATACCCTCCAACCTACTGACCCTGCAGAGAGAAAGAATAAATGAATGAATATTTCAGCCTGTCGCTGTTCATCAGTCGTGTGTACCTGAGATGCAGCAGCTATATGAGCTGTGTTTGATGTTGCGCTGCAGCGTGTAGCATTAACAGCATGCCGTCTGATGTTTTTTGGGGAGTTCTTCCTCCCCGCTGCTCTGGATCAGAGCTCATAACAGCCTGTGAAGCTGATCCTCCACCTGGGGAAATATCCATCTGATAAATGAATTCGCCCGTCAGACTCTTTAAAGCCGCCTGATTACAAACTGTCTGTTTGGTTTAATATGAAGTGGCTTGGCAAACACTAAAGGGAGTTTAGAACAATCAGACTGAGATGATTGAATTATACTGATTAATAATTCATTCCTATTAAATCCTCAAACTTAGAACAAGAGCTGTATCACCAGAGTGTGGATTAGAAAAAAGGGTTTTTGTGACATTTTGAGGGAATTTAAAGCTGTCAGTGTGTCATCATTACACTGCTAACAGCACGTAACACAACAACAAACACGCCGAACAATAAACAGTGCTTAATTTTCAGTGCTGGAAGAAGCACTCAGATCATTTTCTAAAGAAAAAGACGCAATAACACACTTTAGAAATACTGCAAGTAACTGTCTGAGGAATGCTTCCAGCACCTTGTTGAATCTATGCCACGAAGAATTAAGGCAGTTCTGAAGGCAACAGGGGGTCCAACCTGGTACTAGCAAGGTGTAAGTTTAGTAGTAAATATACTTAAAGTATTCAAAGTGAAAGTACTCATTGTGCCGCCTCCAGCTCTCTGTATCGCTCTCTGTATCAGTCTGGACTTGATGCCGCCGGGACTCACCTTGACAAACAAAATACTTCAGTCAATCAGCGTAAATCAGCGTAACAAAACACCAGGGAGCCAGTTAATAAATAAAGCTTTTGCCAAAGTCATCTTGTGTCTCTGTGTGGTTGTTTTGTGTCACTTTGTGGTCATTTTTGTCTCCTTGTGGTTGTTTGTGAAATCCAAACGGCGAAAAACGTTTGTTCCCCTGGAAAACTCTGCGATTGCGTACTCTTGTCACTCAGTACTTTTACATGCACAGCTTAATCGAGCTATGCTCAAAATTCGATTTGGGCGTCTAATCGGACTTCTGTCCTTGTCCCAGTTTACATGCAACTGAGAAAATCGAATTACTGA